GCCTCCGCTCTACCCGCCGGCCCCGCCGCACCGCCAGGGACCCTGGTTCTGCCGTCGTCGCTCCAAGACCGACAGGGTTTTCTCCTCACAGCTCCCTGGGCGCCATCTTACATTCAACCCTCACAGCCAATAGGAGTCGATTGCTCCTCTCGCGAGAATCGGGGCGTCGGTCCCGCGAGATCTGAGACTGCCTCCCGGCCAGACTTAAAGTGAACGCTTCAGCAGGGGAGGGTGGCCGCGCCTCTGGCTGCTAGAGCGGATGGTGCATCGTAGAGTATGGACGGCTCGCTCCGCCCATGGACGTCCCTCCATGTGGGGTGGAGCTAGGGCCGTGACTTGGCCTAGTAGTGGAGCCTCGGAAGGCTAGGGCTCCAAGCTAGCTCCTTGGACCCACCTTCCGTCGCCCGCCAGAGCCTCCTTTGGTCGAGCACCCCCACGCGGGGCGGGGCCTGGCCGGGCTCGGCCTCTCGCTTAAGGTGGACCCCACAAACTTCTGTCCTGGGCCTGGCGTCCCCAGGCGTGCCCTGCCTGGAAAGCCTCTAGGTTGCTCACCTCCTGGAGGACTCAGCATCTGGAACTCCCGCCATCTGCTGCCATCTGAGTTCAGCTTTCAGCAGTTGGGTCCACCTTAAAGCGGGCCCCCGGGTAGCCTAGTGTTTGTATACAGGGAAAATGTGGAAGGCGTTAAAGCTGCAGGCACACTCAGGCCTCAGCAGCAGCCCACACTGCCCCCAGAGGGCTTCCAGCCAGACTCTTTTTGCCTCGGAGCTTTTGCCCTTGTTCCTCTTATCCTGGCAAACTCCCCGTAGTCTTTCGTGATTCCCTTCAGAAGTCACTTCGTTAGAGTAATCTTTTCTGAGGCCCAGGCTGGGTCAGGAACCTCTTCCAGTCTTGCACAAGCCCCAGGGAGACCTCTCCCATACAGTGCATGGTCACCCATTTCCCCTCCCGTGAACTTGGAAGGGCACCACAGCACGTATGCCTCATCTGTGTCTGGCACGTAGTAGGCACTCAAAAATTATATGCTGAATGGGCCGGGCGCGGTGGCTGACGCCTGTAATCCCAACACTTTGGGAGGCCGAGGCGGGTGGATCACCTAAGATCAGGAGTTCGAGACCAGCCTGGCCAACATGGTGAAACCCCGTCTCTACTAAAAATACAGAATTAGCCGAGTGTGGCGATGCATGCCTGTGATCCCAGCCACTTAAGAGGCTGAGGCAGGAAAACTGCTTGAGCCTGGGAGGCGGAGGTTGCAGTAAGCTGAGATCACGCTATTGCACTCCAGCCTGGGCAACAGAGTGAGACTCTGTCTCAAAAGTAAAAAAGAATTATGTGCTAATTGGGCGCAGGGGCTCACGCCTGCAATCCCAGCACTTTGGGAGGCCGAGCTGGGTGGATAACCTGAGGTCAGGAATTCCAGACCAGTCTGGCTAACTTGGTGAAACCCCTTCTCTACTAAAATTACAAAAATTACTCGTG